CCAGTCCACATTACGGTGTCCCCTTTTGTTCATTTTTTGCGTGGGCCCACTCAAATGTTGAACCTTCTTCACCCTTTTATATTTTATTCCTAATACTGAAATTTTCACTCTATTTATGCATCTGCTCTTCATTTAACTTTCTCTAACAATTGTCCTCTAATATTTTGCGATTTCCTCTCTCTTGAGTAGCCATGGAGTTCAAGGTGGGATTTGTAATTGCATTGATCTGCATTGTTGTGGCTGGTGTTGGAGGCCAGTCTCCTTCGGCTGCACCGGCTCATGCTCCGGCAGCGGCTAAGGTTTCTACCCCGCCTGCTGCAGCTCCTACAAAGCATAAATCTGCAGCCCCAGTGGCGGCTCCTACTTCAACTCCTCCGGCTTCAGCTCCTGTAAGTTCTCCACCGACAGTTTCTACTCCAGCTCCTGTAAGTTCTCCGCCGAAAGCTTCCACCCCTGCTCCTGTAAGTTCTCCACCGAAAGCTTCCACCCCTGCTCCTGTAAGTTCCCCACCGACTGCTTCCTCACCGGCTCCAGTGAGCTCGCCTCCTGCTCCGGAGCCAGTCAGCTCTCCACCAACGGCTGTTCCAGTTCAGTCTCCACCATCTCCCGCTCCCGAGGCGGCAACACCACCAGCTCCGGTTTCTGCGCCACCGAGTGAGACCCCGGCTAAGGCTCCGGCTCCGGCTCACAGAAAGAAAAAAGGCAAGAAGCACACTTCACCTTCACCTGCTCCGGCTCCGGAGCTGAATAGCCCACCCGCACCTCCAACTGAAGCCCCCGGACCTAGTGCCGATTCCATGTCCCCAGGTCCTACATCACTTAGCGATGAGGTACATTTCTAAATTCTAATTCCTCCCCTAATTTTAGTCTTGGCTGTCGTTTAGTGCTGAATCGGTAATGTGCATCCGGATCTGGTAATACGTGCCATTATTTTCTCATTTTCATTCGAGTATTTCCTTGATCCATAAAATTCTTGTTAAAACAGAGATTCGAAGAAGACAATGCTTATCGAAAATTACGAAAGGATTTTCTAGATCTGTAAAATGAACAGAATCATAGTGTCTCATGCCACGCCATTGATATTAATTTATTAAGCTTGTAGTTACATAGCTAATCAAAGAATACCAGTCTTTTGTGATGCTGCTCTTTATTAATGTGCGCACTGGTGGTGGCATGAACAAATGTGTGGCAAAAGAAGCAAACTTACAATGCCCGCTAACATCGTCTCCCGGTGCACGTTAGCATCTATTGATCTGAATTATGTCCTCCATGGGTTAGTAGAAAATTTTCAATCGTACAGCGTACGATGACAAACACGGCGGATCTGTGAATACATTAACAAATTGAGAACACCCTCTGCACGCAACTATTTTTTTTAATATTTTTTTTGGTGCCGTTTGCTTTTACTGATTTTCACAGGCATGATTTAATTAGAGTTGAGATTATGGGTTAAGATTAGAATTTATTAATTAATGTATAATTTTCCCATTTTGGTGCAGAGTGGAGCAGAGAAATTGATGGTGTTGCAGGGAAGTTTGGTGTTGGGAGGGGCCGTGTTTGGCTGGCTCCTCTTCTAGAAGACACGATTATTTTGCAAACCCATCTTCATTAATCGGATAATTAAACATATTTATATGTTTTTGATTCGGATCCGAATTGGGGATTTTGCCACATTGGCTCTCTTTGTCAATTATTTTATTGTATTCTTTGGTATACAGCTTTACTTTTTGTATGGACTGTTTTCGACTATTTATTCTATCTATTGTATCATTATTTGATTATTCTTTCTTGGTGTCTTGCTAATCCAATGTATTACGCCTCTGTTTCATAGAGATTGTTTGTTAAAAATGATTTTTTTTTTTTTTTTCATTTTGGAAAAATGTGTGGATAAAAAGTTAAAAAGTGTTAAATTTAAGTACAAAATTATTTTATTGATAAAATGTGCGATAAAAAAATGAATTTTGAAAAATAGGCTCAAATGAAAAGATTATACAAATCGAGATGAATAATTAATTAAAATGGAATAACGATGAAAATGGAGACGACGAGTAAAGTTGCAAAGATTTTATCCATTTCTTTCGTTCCCCTGAAACCCCAAAGAAGATTGAATCTGTTCTGGTTAAATTTGTAAATGAAAAGAACAAATTCATAAAGTCAATTGGTTTCTTGGTCGACGATTTCAAAATTTAATTACTTTTTATTTCTTAATATTGTAATGTAATATGTTATTACTTATTACCGTACCAGACAAACTATTTGTGCACAAATTGTAACTACGTAGAGAAATGCTAAAAAAAATTTTCCATATAATTTCGTTGCCTATCACACTTGAATGTGAATCTATAGACAAAATATCATGGTTAAATTTTGAAGAAGCATGAATATCAACTAGTTAGTTAAAAAACCAGACCTTATGAATATTTTATCTTATCTTTAAGAGCGTTCTATTTATAAAGAGCGCATTATGTAAAATAGAGAATATATTTAAATTTTAGAGGGTAAAATTATTTAATGCAGCACAACATTACTCTATATCTTGGCCTTTTATTTTGATTTTCAATAAGCATTATTGTTTTCCCATCACATTTTATTTAAAACTTTTTAAAAAAATAATAATAATAATTGTCGATGAATAATTAGGTCAAGTATAATTTGAATAACATGGAAAGTAGAGTATACAAATATGCAATTTATTAAATGCAATCATTATAAAGAAAATAAAGAATGTGTTCAACTCTCTATTTTAAAAAGTTAAAATTACTCTAGAAGTTCTATTTCTCAAATGCCATCTATAAGTGATATTAGAGAGAGAACTTAATCAATGGTTGTGAACTTTGCTATAAATTATTACTTGTTTATCGATATTTAAAAAGTTACTTGTTACTTACTAAACCTTATTATAAGTTACTATTTACTCACTGAAAAAAGATTACGTGTTGCTGACCTAAATTTGAATGAAGCTATTTGTTGCTTACTGAACTTTAGTATGGATAATACCAAAGGAAATGATGTGAATGATTCATGAGTAACTTTTTCAAATTTCAGTGAGCTATTAATATCCTATATCAAAGTTCCATGAGCAAAGAGTAATTTTTTAAATTTTAATGAGCAATAAATAACCTATAGCATAATTCAGTGACCATTGATTAAATTAACTTGATATTAGCAACATCGTATTCTATCAAATTGCAAGTGTAGCACTTGTTCTTAAAATAATTTGTGCATAGCACAAGTAGCGTCCAATTGATCATTAATTACAAGATGCGAGGTTATTGTCACCTAAATTGTAAGCACGAGTAATTCTACATAAAATTACTCTTTTGAGGAACCTTCTAGTTAGTTTACTACGTAATTTGCATCTATCCCCATGCCCACTTGCCTCAATTGCCAACACGATTTCGCTTCCAAAACAGCCTTAAACAGGCTGTAAATAATATAAATAACATGTTGAGTAAAAAACTATTCTAGAATTAGGTTATGTTCAAAGGAGGTGATTATAAAATACATGCATGTCTTGTTGCAAGATATGACAAACAACTTGCAGGGTTTTTAAAATAAAAAAGCTAGGATTTAGAAACTTCATGTAACCTTCTTTACAACAAAGACCTCAGTAGATTGTGTCCTCAAGAGTCAACAAGAGCAAGAGGGTCTCCATTTCCCACACGTACAGTCTGTGTATGGGCTGTACGCATTTTATATTTCTAATGGATGAAATTACCACGTAGGCATATTTTGAACCCTAGATTCCTACTATAAATACTGCAATGCAGTCTCACTAGGCCATCACTTTCAGCACATCAAAGACCATACATATTTTAATTGTTGTTAGCTTGTTGAAAATGAAGCTTCTTTTCTTCACTTTGTTTCTTCTTTCCTTGATTTTCAGCTCTTCTTTTACTACACTGGCTGCAGCTAAACCACCTCCAACTGGACCTGCCCCAACGCCAACGCCAATCCCAGGTATACCTCTTTAAATCTATGTTTCTTTTCCTTCTTTTCTTTTTCAAAAATAAAATAAAATAAATTGATTTGTGAGTATTATTGCTGTTATAAGAAGGGAAGAGTTAAATTTCATCAAACTGTATATGATAGAATTTGATTGTTGATTAATAATGATACCTTTGTGATGGAAATGACAGCTTCTTGCGGTGCACTGTGCAAGGCAAGGTGTGCAAAAGCAGGCATACAGAAGCGTTGCTTGAACTTCTGCGGCATATGCTGCAGCAAGTGCAACTGTGTTCCTTCAGGAACGTATGGTAACAAGTCAGAGTGCCCCTGTTACAGAGACATGCTCAACTCCAAGGGCAAACCCAAGTGCCCTTAAAATCTCCCTAATTTATTGTTTCCATTAGAAAACATTCAATTACATGCACTTGGAATGATGTTTAAAACTTTGTTTTGAGCACACATTGTAATGAAATAATTTGAGTAGTTTTCAACTACTTGTCATGGAGAAACGGTTTCGTGTTTCTGAGCTCCTGTGAAATTTCTCGGCCCAACAATTTATCAAATGTCTGTCTCTCACGTAGGCTTATAAGAAAATAATTGGGGAGGGTGCTTTTAATATGGAATGAGGGACAAAATAAGCCAAAAGCATTTTGATTAAATTTGGGTTTCTACCATTACATTTCTGGCCAAGGATCACTACTGTTGGTTAATAGTATTGGCCCCTGAACACGAAGAAGTTTATGATACATATATGGCTTTAAAGATTCTACAGGAAGAATAAATACCATTATCAGGAAATAAAACTTTGACATTCTTCCCATCCTCTGCATAGGGACTTGAATGTGCGGTACAGAAATGAATACCCATATCAAACACCCAAAGGAATGCTCATTTGACTGGAATGTTAAAAGTGCAATCGGTCAGTTTCCTGTAGTTGTCAACCTATTGGAAAAGGTAATGCCCCTTGCTACGAGGTACACAATGAAACAGACGTATGCAGCCGTGAATATGCATACCACAGACGTAAAAATACCTCCACTCCCTTCAGAAGAGAAAAAGTCCACCAAAAGGTACCCGTTGATAACCATCACCAAAGCAGCCACAAGCCATGATATTATCTACACAGAAATGTGTTAAAAATCATATGGTGCTTGTCCCGGTAAGAGTTTGGAATAAACAAGACGAGGCAATAAAACAAGCACGCTTGAAATATGATAAACCAATTTCCTTCACTCTTAAGATAATGTTAATTGCAGAATTGACACGAAAAGTAGCATTAGTTTATGACTTGCAAAGGAAGATGAATCATGATCTTCCACATTTATATAAATAAACCACTGACTAAAAATAAAAGTAAAATCAAATGTCAATTTAAATGCAAGTTATAAATTTCATCATCAATTTCACACAATCTACAATGTAAAAGTTAAAATGGTAAAATTATCTAATTATCAGCTAACTAGAAAACATAATAAACCAAGCGTGTGCACTTGCTTATGCATAAGAACGCATCAACCAAAAAATTGGTCAGCTAAGGGCCAAAATCATTTATCTTGTTACCGAGAAGCTTCTCAATTTATCAAGATTTTCTCCTACTTCACGGTCTAGGCCCATAAACCCATCTAAGTTTAAGCAGAAAAGCGCACAAGGTTAAAATTTATCTCTTTCTTTCCCTCTTGAAAAAAATAAATCTTCTCCAACTATCATTCTCCATTCTTTTTCCATTGTGCAAAGATTTATGCTTTACCCTTCAAGGAAACAAACAAACTCTTCAAAGGATGCATGAATTCATATTAATTAAATGAAATTGTCAAAAAGCTTGAAACACCATCAATATTTTAACTGCGCATTCATCCATGGAAGACGCCCTGCAATCCACCCTCAGTCAAACCCCTAAGAGTGCAATCAAAATTAATCGTGTGACAGATGCCAGCATGATATAGTAAGTTCGGTAATGTAAAATAATACAAAATGCAAAAATGAATGCACTGATATAATAACGCTATAAAATTTTATCAAGAAGAAAAAACCTTGAGAACGGTGCCAATTTTGAAAATGCCCATGACTTCCTCCTTGGCCACCAAGTAAAGGAGTGGAATAAGAGCAAACGGGATCTGAATTGACTGAAGTATATTAAGCCATTCGTTTAGAACATCTAATGAGTGTTCAGATGTATCAAAAACAAGGGCAACTATTAGAGTCGGGATGATAGCACAGCTTCTTGTTATCAGTGCTCTCATCCACTTTTTCAAACGCAGGTTTAGAAATCCCCCCATTATAAATTGCCCTGCATAGGTGCCAGTTATAGTGCTACTCTGTCCGGCAGCAAGTAATCCAATAGCCCAGATGTATAAGATTGGGAACAATCCCCCACCATACTTTTCTTGAAGATACTGCCCTGCATTTCCAAGGCCAATGTTATTGGCTTGTTCTGAACCATAAAATGCCTTCGCAATTACTGTTGTCACAAACAGATTTATAATGAAAGAGATTGTCAGAGCAGCGCCAGACTCTATCGAGTAATATGTGAGAGCTTCTCGAACTCTGCCTATCTTGCGGTTGTCAATTTCTCGAGATTGTACAAGAGCAGAGTGTAGAAATACGTTGTGAGGCATTATAATGCATCCAACAACTCCTACTGCTTGCTTTATTGTCTTGGAGCTGAGTTTTGGGACCACGACGCCTACAATAACAGTTAGCATTTATCTCATTTGGGAGGAACATCTCCAAAAGACTCTTTATTTATAAATGGTATCGTATGCATAATAGAAAGCATCTTTAAATTTAGAGAGTAATTTTTTTTATACGCTCCAACAAGTTCTCTATTTTAATTCTTTGTTTTGTTTTTTCCAATGAAGATTTCTCCACATATTTTATATATATTAATGACCAATCAATTCAAATGTAATTTGAAAATTTTAAATTATAAAGTATTGAAATTTGTAATATATTAAATGCAATCATTGTACATTAAAAATAGAAAGTGGGTTTGTCTTTATAAATTTGGAGAATCAAACACACTCTCTACTTTAAAAAGTTAAATTAGAGAGTCTCTTGAAAATCATTTTTTAAGTATTGACTCTTTAAAATAGAGAGTATTTTGTATTTAAAGAGTCTCTTGAATATACTCTTATGATTTAGTATTAAGTAATTTTGTATCAAAAATAGCTTTCTCTAACCAATTAAAAGTTCGACCCCACTGGGTTTCGTTTCACCAAACAACCACGCAAATGAGAGCGCCATAATAGCTATAAGGACAGCAAAAAGGGCTTCTAATTTCCGAACACCATAATTCTCCAGAAACAGAAAGATGAAGCTGCACAAGATAAAAATGGGAACTCACAATTTAGATACTGAATGAGATTCCTGAATATAATTGAAAAGGAGAAAAGAAATGCATAAAACATTCCTAGTCTATAAGGTCAATCCTATTAACTTCAACATTCCAAGCATTAGGGAAATAAACAAGTGAAATGAGCTAGTCTAAACTAAGCATAATTTTAACAAAATTGAAACATGGTTTACTCCAATTCCGACATAATCCAAGCACTTAACACTCTAAGATTTAATTTTTAATGCACGAAAAAATTATATTAAATAAGACAAGAATGAGTAAAGATAAAACAATGTTCAAGATTTTAATTTTACCAGTCAAGAGCAGTGATGATGACACCAGCCCACAGAGGCAATAACCCATGGCTCAAAATCTTGATAGCTATTGCACTACCAATCACCTCCTGAATATCAGCCCCAATCAGGGCCAGCTCCGCCATGACCCAAAGCAGTAGTCTGGCCCAATTTGGATACTCTTCTCTGCACAACTCGGCAAGGTGCCGTCCAGTGGCCACGCCAAGCCGGGCCGACAGCAGCTGGACCAAGAGGCCAATGACTGTGGCCCATAGTAGCAGCCAAAGCAAAGAGTAGCCTGCAATTGCGCCCGACTGGAGATCCCCCTCCAGGTTGCCCGGATCCAGGAAAGCTATACTCATCAAGAACCCCGGCCCGGTGAACAGCCAAAGCTTCCGCCACGAAAACGGCGGCGCTTTGGCGTAATATTCATCTGCTTCGTTCCCTTCATTGACTCCAATTACGTGGACTTTTTCGGCGTAATCGTATGCCCCCTCTTCTTCATCTTCCTCGTACAAATCAACCGATCGTTCATCGAGTAACCGCTGTTGCTGTTCTTCCTCTTGTAGAGCCATTTTCCTCTTTCTTTTTCCCTTAAAGGAGAAGGAAAATAGTGGAATAGGGTGAGGAGGGAAAGAAAATGCGGCGGTTGCTTTATGGGGGCGTTATCGTTAAAGACCACGAACAGAGCAAACTGCCGGTCCCCATTTCTTCGTTATTAATATTTTGTGATTTGTTCTTTACTTTTTTTTACATCGTTGGAGCGTAATAAGGGATTTTTACAGAATTTAAATACCACCTCAGCAAAAAGAAAGAAAAATTAAGAAAAAATTAAGTGGGGATGCGTAGTTCTGGAAAAAGAGACAAAAATTAAAATTTCTTTCAAGAGAATCCCCTGTTGGAAATTGCCATGTTTTCTTGAGGAGTTTTCTTGCTTGGGGTTTGCTACGTGGCCTCCCGTGAGGGGCTATACACTCTGATGTACAAATAGCAATACTCTTTTTTCTTTTCTTTTTTCATGGTATTAATGTCAAAGTCCAAACCCGAAACGTGACATGTGATTTGGTAAGAACTTTACTTTTTTTTTTTTTTTTTACCACAATATATATATTTGGGAGCAATATAAAAAAAAAAAATTCTATTAAGTTGTGGACTCATACTATTATTGTTACGTGAATTGATCTTCACAATAAGATCATCGTGGAGGTTGGAAGGGGCCAAGAAGCCCCCCTCCCACGGGGTGTTGTGATTTCAGACCAAAATTTCATTCAAGATAGTTTAAAAATTTTATACTTGTAATTTTGATTTTGTCCTATTTTTTTTATAAATAGGAGTTGTCGTTAGAAATTATTTAATTATCATCAAAAAGCGAGAGAAAAAATACGGTGTGCAATTTTTCTCTTATAAACTTCTTTTCATCATAATGCAAATTACTACAATGACGAGCGATGATGTAGTCTTATATTGGTCTCACATTGGAGCAAACCTCTATAAATTTGCATATTTTTTTTCTTTTTTCTGCCATGATTTTTTTTTTTGGTAATATAGAATTATGGCTTCTAATTTTCAATAATTCCTAAATTGAATTGGTTGTACTTTTCCTTTTTAACTATTTGATATGCAAATGCAAATACATGTGAGTATGTTGATACAATTTGCCACATCTAAATTCTAGGATACATTGTTTATGCCTTCATGTTAATTATCTTCCTCTATTTTTCCTATCCCACATATCTTCTATCTTTGAGTTGAGGGGTTGGAAACATTAGATTCAAAATCTGATGTTAACGAATAGCCTCCTTCTTCTCTTTTAATCTCATACAATAAAATAAAAGATAAAATTGGAAAGTTCAGTTCAATCGTTGCTATCAGAAGCATTCCACTTTGGCTTTAGAGAGAGGCTTGTCCACAGGCTTACTCATATTCGACTTGGATTTTGATCATTAATATGAGATGGCGGAAATAGAAAATCTATAGTGCATGATTTAATTGAAGTTGCTTGATCACTTTCTAACATTATTCAATCTTTTCAATTGTTGGCAATCGGGAGTAGGATGGACAGTTTGTATATCAAATCACCAAATTTGGATCTTGTCAACTATCGGTGAACTATTCGAATTGGTTAAATGCGTGGAGCATAATCATCCACATGTTATTGGGAAAGAAAAAAGTTGCCCCATTGAAAACTAGTATCAATTGGTGCTTTCCCTCTTTCAAAAGTTGTTTGGTATGGATATACTTAGAGGAAACAATCATCAAAAAATTTATAAATTCTCCTGCGTAGTACATAATCGCCTTTGAGTTCAAATTAAAGTGACTTAATTATATTTTTCACCATCATTTGTAATTGAGACAAAATGTAAAAATATTAATGAATACTTATATTATTACTCATGTACATGTATCGTGCATAAATTTAAAAGTCTAATTTTAAAATGTATTTTATTATTTATTAAGATTATGTTTTTCTTACAAAAGTAAAAAATAAAATAATTCAAGTAATGAGAATGATTATTTTTGGCCTCCATTAAATTATATTCAATTTTTTTCTCTCATATTTTCAATCACACAATCTTTTATAAAATAATATTAGATGTGGATCGAAAGCTTTTCTTTCTTTTTTTAACTACTCATTTTTCAAAAAAATATTACTCCACGCATTTTTATTTCCAAAAAAGGGGCCAAACGATGCTTACACGATTATCAATAAGAATGGCTATTAAAATAATTTAAACATCCAAAGTATCATTGTGGCCCACAAAAGCATGATACTCGGAACTCTTGAAAGAATGGCGTGTGCATTAGTGAGGAAATTGATCCAAATGTACCAATGGACAGTGAAGAAACTGTTGTAAATTGAAGTCTCAACGAGCAAGCATTTGTCACTGTCGCGCTACTCCTGTGGTGGCGCACGACGTCGCTCCTGATAGATTTTGTGTCACAAATTAGACTGAATTTTTTGAAAAATATTGTTTTTTTTTATTTTCACATGATTTTATTGAAAAAATATTATTTTTTTTATTCTACATTATTTTTTATATTATTTCCATCTTTTGATATATCCCTATTAATATGTGGATCTTCATTCAATTTAAGTGAAACATTATTGCTTAGTTTCTTGTATTCTCTTTATATTGTTTTGAATAAAACATCGATTCCTTTGTTAATCTCTCTTCAATGCCATTATTTTAATCTTGTTTTCTATCATTGTGATCTTTTCTACATCACATATTTTATATTGTGTCATTAAATCTCAATTCTTACATCGTCTCCAAATCCAATAAATGGTATCAGAGCTAGGCTCCAAGTTCTTCGTGATTTGATTGAGATTTTTTCAAAGATGGCTACATTAAAATATGATATTTCGTTGTTAGATCGCAATACAAGATTTTCGTTGCAGCAAGTAAAGATGAGGACTATGTTTGTAACACCCCAGATTTTTCTTACTATTTTTCATATAGGCCTGAACTTAATATGGGTCACATATCAAATGAAATAATTAATATTTAGATTTCTTGTCACACTAAAAGTCCAAAGTTTGGTGATTTATTTTGCTCACGTGTACTTAGAATTTATCGAAAACTATTTGGGTCGAATATTTAAGTATTATTGAAGTTGATGAAAATATATCAAATATTACACTCATTTTGTAGCTCGTATTAAATAATATAATTTGGGTTCAAGAAAAAGCAATTTCGAGCTAGTTATGTCCGAATTAATCTAATAGAAAGAAAATAATTATCTTTTAATATTTTATTAGTATATATAATATAAAAAATAATAATATTTTTTAACCAACATGGTACAATCACACGTTTCCAATATTAAATCTGTTAATAAAAAATCACACGTTTCCAATATTAAATTTGTTAATAAAAAAAATGTTAAATTCATATTTAAGTTACTAATGTGTGAATTGATTGATTGATTGAAACCATGAATTGATTTAATTAATCTTTACATTCTCACCGTTTTGACTGAAATGTGGTTGGCTTTTGGGTTGATGGATGTTACACTATGAATATATAAATATGATGTTATTTCCACCCTCGGGGCATAGTCTCGTGGTACAAAAGACGGGAGTGAAGTTATTTCATACCTTGCTGGTAACCGCAGTGTGAGGATTTGATTTCTGAGACATGGAATTGGACTCTTTGTAGGCGCAGTGTACAGGCAGCTCTTGTTCCCTGACTTGCTGGGACATATCCCGCGATTTACCTCCCTCACAAAGCTCAAGGGACGGAGCAGTGGGGGCCCTCAAGATTGGGGTTCAACCTTTTTTAAATATGATATTATTTCCACTTAAATAAAAAATTTTACTTTATTTCATTATTTGCAATTTCACTTCACACATTAGCAACTGAATCATTTACATATTCAAATTTCGTTGAGTAACAACTAAAGTAAGAATACATAGTGTAAAGTTGTAAATTCTTATTCCTTGATATTTGTATAATTTTTGGCATAAAATGCTATGAGGCCTTTGGGTCAAACTCTATGTTAAATTTTTCGAGATGGACTGTTAGGTCAAAGATGTTAAATCATACGGGATGGAATGTTTGGTCAAAAATATTAAATCCTAGGGGATATGAGAATTCTTAAGAAATTCTTTGAGCTCTAAATGTCAGTTTTATATTTATATAATGTGAATAAAAATGTGTACGTATTCTTACCGAATGTCTTCAAAATACTCTTACAAAACCTTTCAGATGAGAACGGATCGTTTGGACGCGTGGAAAATTGATTGAGTGATGCTTATGGGATCGCCAAGTTAATTTTCTAGAAAAGATAATTGTCAAACTTTTATTTGAAGAACATTTGAAGAACGTCTTCATATTGAATTTTATGTACATTGTTTAATAGATATTTTTTTTTTGTATTTTCAACACTTAAAAGTGAGTGCTTAATTTAGAAAAAGAAGATGTCGGTAACACCTCGAGCCTATTTTTATAAAAGAATAAAATAATGAAGATGAAAAAGATCTTGTGGTGTTACAGAATGGTATCAGAGCACGAATTTAGTCGATTCTGTAAGCTATTCCTTTAAAAAAATGTATGCATATTTCTTCATCATGTTCAAATGTGATTTACGTGTATAAATTATTTTTCTTAGAATGATAATTTATTTCAAAGACTTAGTAGTCTGCGTGAAATAAATATATAATTTTTGTTTTGTCTATTAAATATTTATGATTGTGAAATTACCAGAATTTATTTGAATAAACTGTTTGAATGTTTAGTTTCTTTATAATAATTAAATTAAAATTTAAATGAAGCTTAATCGCATGGAAGTGTGGTATATCCACTGAATGGGTATATGCACTAGAAACCAAGTGTGTGTACTAGAAAATTTATAACTAAAATTGCTTGTCGATTGCCAAATATTCACACATTTATGTTGTTGATAGACTTTGTGCATCAGCAATTTGACTGTGCTGTTTAAACACCCAAACTTGAGAGTGTTCTTGAATATTACAATCCATAAAATAAGTCCTATTCTGTTTTGTACGCGTGTATTAAGTACGGCATAATGCCAAATGTTGGAAACTACACTGTTCATTTGTAACTTGATGTAAGTTAGATACTCGCACATGTACACATTGCTGACAATTTTAAATTGATTCTTTAATATTGCTTCTACTTCTCGAATTGGAGACTCATAAATTTTATTTTCTCCCACTTCAAATTTAGAAACCTGATAAAATACATGCTTGTTCTTTAGTTATTACA